AGCAAACATTATTTAAGTTTAGAATGCAAATCTATTTTGCATAATTAACTTATCATTTCAGTATAATTTTGTAAAAATTTTTGGCATATAATTATGCTAATTATTGAATTATAATAATAATTTTAAAATTAGCTGGATAGTATTCGTTTAGAATAAATGTTAGCGCTTGATCTTAAATTGTTCGAATATTATTTTAAACTTGTCTCACAGATCATAGAAATTAGAGTTAAATAATACTTCCAGCAATTTCTGGAAATTCTTTTTGTAAATATATTTTCCAAAATTATAACATAAGTTAACCAAGCAAAATTTCTTCAAAAATTTAAAATTCTTTTATTTTATTTTGTAGATTCTAAATTTCTTGAAATATTTTGCCACAATTCAAACTCTTACCTTAAAATAATTTGGAAATACTTAAAATTTGAAGCAAAAATTATTTAAAAGATGAAAAAACAAAAGTAAAATTAGCATCAAAAATTTGCTAAATTTAATAATTAATAAGCAAAAATTCGTAATGAAAATTACTTAACTGAATTGAACATTTATTATACATAAGTAAATTAAAATTTTATTAATAATAATATTAGAATATTTCATTTAATATAAAATAATGCATATTTTTAACTTGCATTAATTGAACATTATTGAAATTTTACCGATAATCTGTTCAGTAATAAAAAATACTTGAAAACAGAATTAATTCGGTCAATGCAAAATACCTATAATTTACTTATTAATAAAACTATCTAATAATGGACTTAATTCTATTTAATATTTCAGTAAAATTTCGTTCATTACAAATATGATGAATCTGTCAATAAAATTATTGTGCGAAAAAGAGAAAGAAAAGAATGACAGAAAGTAAATATTACATTATATCGGTAAAAAATTAATTATTGAATTAATTATGATAGAGAATTCAAATACACTTGAATTATAGGATGAGACGTGCTTGCAATCATTTCAAAGCAAGTTTGCAATCATTTCAACAAATCATTAAAAAATTCAGTAAGCCATTTTGATATTAAAATCTAATTTTAACCAATGAAAAAAACTTTGAATATCAAAGAATAACTTTGGTAATCACTTTTTTCATTTTTGATTCTTTTAATAACACTCATTTTGATTTTCCAACAATGCAATGATAGTTTTACAGAACTTATTTAATTCGTGATAATATGACGGAGAATAATTATGACTGCTAAGTAGTTAGAGAAACCATAATTATTTTTTTACCTGAAATCTAATTGGTAGAAAAACAAACAGTACCATAATTCTCTTTTAATTAATTAGCTTAACAGCAAATACCTATCTTTCTGCGTTTTCTACTTTTTTCCTTCCAAAAATGGTTGGCTAATTCGAGCTAATCAATATTGTTACATGTCTGAATACGGTAAATTTCAAGAAAGGAAAGAAAAATAGATGTATTAATAAAAAGTTTGAAAAAATTAATGCAAGCAACATTAGCATAATTGATTTTCAATCATGATAAAAATAGTGATAAGGATTGTAATAGAAAATAATGATAGAGATGAAGGGAAAAAATTAAGAGTGATATGAATTAGTAAGTTTTATTATTTCTATAACTTTAAAATTTCTTTTTACATTTCTTTTAAAGCAGTTTTCAATCTTTACATTTCCATTCATTATATTATTTAAAAATTTTATATTTATAATATATAATAGTAAGAATGGATGAATGTTAGTTATTTCAATATAAATATATAATTAAAAAAAAATGAAAAAATATAATAGAGAGAGTTGTGATAAAAGTAAAAATTCGAAACATTTCATCAAACTTAAAATCAGTAAACAGAAAAATTGTCTTCGCAAAGATTTAATTTTCGGAGATATTTGTTGAACGAATTTATTGCACTGCAATCAGCAAATATTCGATAGCTTAATTCAACAGCAACAACAACAAATACACATACATCGTGATAAAAGCATCAAATAATTGAATAACACAATTTAAAACAAACAGTTTTGCTTTCGTCATCAAACTAATCAATGTTTGATTGTTTTTTTTCTAAAATTAATCGAAATCATTATCACAATTATAATATATATATATTTGATGTTTAAGAAAGAAAAATACTTTCTTCAATTTGTCACATGAAATATGGTTAAATAAATAAGATAAGAAAGAATTTTATTTTGTTTTAGAAAATTTAAATGCAATAGGAAAAGAATTTTATGGCAACAATTCAAATGATTTTGAAATTGATCGATATTAAGGGAAAATATTCCATTCATAAATTTTGATAACTCCAATATCTTTTAATAATAATGGCCTAAGCTTATTATCATTATTTTATTATTATTATTAATATTGATATTATTATTATATTATTGTATTATTATTATCAATTTTATTGATATTATTATTATCAATTATTAAATTATCAATTAAATCAATTAAAATTGATATTATTATTATCAATTTTATCATTATTTGTTTCATTTTTATTAATTTTATTTCTGTGTGTTTATCATATTTTGTAGTTCATCGGTTTTTTTGCAATTATTATCCATATAATTATAAATAATAAACATTATTAATTGATTATCGATTAATTCATATAAATCGGATACTTTATTCTCTGTTACGACTGCATTTTTATGCTATTAATATTTAAATTTATAATTTTAAACTTCATGCGAGTAATTTTTAAAAATTAAAATCATCGATTGGAACGTTACAGTTTGTGTGTGTGTGTGTGTGTGTGTGTGTGTGTGCAAGAATTTCATAATGAAATGTAATTACAGAATTATCACATAAAAAAATTTACAAATCATCAATATCAGCTTTAAAAAATTTATTAAATTAAAAAAAAGAACTATAAGCAAAACAATTTTTATTTCTTAATTTATAAATTTGATAAATTCAACAAATTGACAAGAATGAAATAAATGGACTGAATGTGAGAACAAAGAACGTAAACGATTTCCTTCATTTGTACAGACTGAAATCACTGATGATACTATCAATAATAATAATAATATCAATTCTACTAATAATGTAACAGTTGCCAAAATTATCAACCCTTTGCAAAATAAAAAATATAAAAACTGAGCGACAATTTTGTTTCATATCAAAGACGTCTAAAAATAAAGATCAAAAGTTAATCAGTTTAAATCCATTTATGATCGAAGATGAAATCATGTCATCTTATTTGAAATGGCCAAAGATTAATCCTGAACAAGTTAAAGTGATCGAAATTCATCGTGATTAAAATATTTTAAAAATTAATTGCTGGAAACAAAAAAAAAGGTGCAAAAATGAAAAACAGAAGTTTTTTAAAATTAGTTGTCACGTTATTTCTATATAATCATTTATCCATCCATCAGTTGCTTGGTTTGCAAAATGTGTCATTTACCATTTTTTATGTTAAATATCCAAAATGCAGTAATTAAATTTAAGACATTTAACAAATTATTGATTGATGAAGTAAAATAAGAAATGGTCAGATATTGACGGATATTGTTTTAGTGTTGTAATTGGATGATGCATTAATATATTTAGTGTTTGATAATTTTAATGCAATTATTGGTTGTCGCATAAATATTGAAATGAATATTTTGCTTGTAGTTCAGTTCAGTGTATGTTGTATTTTCATATTTAATTTATTCAATTAATCAGAAATTTTCAAACATCTAATAAATATTAGAAAAGAAATTACTTAATCGATAAAAGAAAAGAGGTCAATTGCATGAACGCTGCAAATTTAACAATTTCTACAATTTTAAAAAGTTTAAAAACCGTCAAAGAGAAAGAACGTATGCTCATAAAAAATGATAAAAATTATTAAAAACTGTTGACCAGTTGAGTAGAATTATTTTACGATTTTCGAAATCTCATAAATCTAATTTTTTTTTGTTTTTACAATCAAGTTATGCTCATCAAATAACGTGTTACAACTTTCTGTTGACGTGAAAGTGGACGTGGAAGTTGACGTGGAAGTTTATCAAGATTGAAATTGACGTTAACTGTTTACATATGATATTAATGTTAATTGCTTTTACTAAATTTATCGATGAATTTTGTTCAAAAGGAAACATTTAGGAAATGGATGAAATTGCTTTAATTTTTAGGTAAATTTAAGGAATTTGAAAAGATGTAAAATGATGAAATCTTTCGATAAATTCTCTCTTTATTAATACTTTGAATTTTTAATTACATTCTCTTTTCATTCAAAATGCGAACTTTGTATTCCAAAGATAAGAAGAGAGAGAAAGAGAGAGAGAGAGAGAGAGAGAGAAAGGAAAAAACGAGTCTATGAAATGAAATGATGAAAACAGTTTGGAGAGTAACGGAATTTGATAGCTAAGAAAAGGAATGGTTAGGTTTGCTGATGAAATTATCGGGATATCGGTGACAGATTATGGGAAAAAGATAAGTAAGAAAAGAAGGTAGGAAATAAAGCGATAAATGAATGTTCGGAGGGAGATAGAGAGAGGAACCAAAGATGGAATGAAATGGCTCAATTCTATCCATCTACTTTGCCCCGAAAAATTTTAATCTTTCAATTCCGTATTTGTATCGAAATTATTTCAATCCGTCTTTTTCATCCTCGTTTTTCGTCTTCTTTTCTTTCTTCATCATCTATTTCTCGTTGTTTGCAATGAGCAATCATCATTACTTCCTTTTGTCCTAATGATTGTGAACTGTGACCCAATTGTCTTTTCAAAATTCTTGAAAATTTTAATCCATCTATCCTAACCCAAAAGCAACCATTTTCAGTTAACGATCAGGTCATCATCCATTTTCTTAATACCAAAAATTTGCGTCATAATTGTCATCATCATCGTTATCATTATTATCGTCGCCAAAATTATCATTATAATAATTATTGCTAAACTGAAGTCATTTTTCTCTTTCACTCTCTTCTAGTTGAACTGAAATGATTTTTTCTCTTTTTTATGGCCAGGTATTTCCTTCATTGTGAACGGTCGATCGGAAAATATTTAAACTTTGCCGGGTTACAGAATATCATCGAATGACATCGTTCCTGATCAAGCAATTATTACTGCTTAATATTTTATCAGTCGCTAAAGGTTTGTTTTAATATGATATTTATTTTTTAAGACGTTAAAGCAAAAATTGTCGCATTATGGCTTAGACGTGCGTAAGTTTTTGTTTCTGTTTAATCTAAGGTAATTAATTATAAGAAGAAGTGCGTGAAATTTGTTTGTGCTTAAGTGACAGTTTTCATAGCATTTCAATCATATCTATGAATAATTTGTTGAATTAATGAATTTCGAATTTCGAACAAGGAAATTAATATAAGCGATATCAAATATTTGAAATTATAAATAAGATTTCTTTTTTCTGATTGCTTATATTACTTATGATATATAGTTTATTAATATAATTACATCGTTATCAATAAATTAATAAGAGCATAATTATATTGCTAATTAATTAATATTAATAATTTTATAATCGTTGAAACGAATTCTCTTTCAGAGCTATTTAGTGGTCTCACCATAATTACAATAATTATTACTGTTAATATTACTTTATTACTAGCAACCATTATCTTTTTTTATCATTGCGATAAATTTTGTTTTGTTTCTAATAACTACCACTAATTCTTTCTTTGATAAAATTATCAACAACTCAACAAATAATCCTTTAATTTCGAATAATTTTTCAAAATTGACACAAATTTTCAGTTAACGAATTTGCTTTTTTCGCTTTGAATAAATCCAATGATATTATGAAAGTATCACATTATCATATTTTAAAGAAATTTTTATGTAAAATGAAAAAGCAAATTTGTTGATTCTAGGCTGGTTACAATTCTGTTTCCATTGAAGTGATGATTTATATCACTTATCCATTACCGATTATATATTGCTTGTGATATTCAGGAATATACTTTCATGGATTTAATCCAATTATTAATTTTCTTCTTCCTTTTTAAAAGACAATTAGAAAACATTTACTATTTACTTTTTAGATGACAAAAATTTAATGTGCTACTTGATTAACCGTTTTTTAATTTTCAATTTTAACATTTACAAAATTTCTTCTTTTTTTAATGAAATACTACAAATTTTAGTACTTGGCAATGCAGTTACGGAATATCCGTTTAATTATCGTACCGGTAAGTTAAATCAGTTCGTCGGATTCGCTACACCACGTTTACCACCATCAACTAATGGTCCATTTAGTAAGTCCCTGATATAAATTATCGTAAAAATACGTACTCATACTTAATATGAGTCATTTTTTCTCCCTTATAATAATTTTTTCTTAATAAATATTTCGCACTTCGAATAGCTTAAATATATCGTATGTCATTCGTGTAGTTAGCGGTTTACTGCTTCAGAATTCATGCAATCGACGTAAATTCTATTTTAAATATAAGAGAAAATTTTTGGTGCATATAAAAATCAAATATTTAATCGATACAATAGTACTGGAAACGTGTCAACTTGTATCTTATAATTGATCAAATAATAAATTAATATAAAAATAATGAGACGTATCTCTATATTTCAATAGTAAACCAATTCAAAAATTTTTTTGATCCTGAAAAACTAATTCTAAATATGCATATTTCTATTGCTATCTGTAATTGTTTTGTAATTAATTAAAACCAATCCACCACAAATTTTAAATTCTCGAATTTTTCTAAATTTGGCAATGTTTTTTTGGTATATTACGCAAAAAAGTTCTAAAAAAATACGAATAAAACCTTTTGCTTTCATTCATTATTTTCTTTATTTATTTCCAATGAAAGTTTAATTGATTGATTGATTGATTGATTGATCGATTGATTGATTGATTGATTGATCGATTGATAATTTCATTTGTTGACACTCACTTACTTCTTTGAATAAAATTTAGAGAAAATTTATTATCAAACTTATCATAAATAATTATTCATCAAATGGAAATAAAACTGTTTTAGATTTTATTTTTTTGCAATAGGTGGAAAGTATGAAAAGTACATATATGAACACACACACACACACATACACACACACATACACACACATACACACTCACATACATGCATAAATTATGCATACCCACCATTAAAAACGGAAATGTAGAAAAACAACAGTATGACCTGTTTTTTTGTATTTTTGACAATAGATTATTTATATTGGCAGAAAGAACAGGTGGAAAGAACAGGTAGGTGAACTTCTTATCCTTTCCTTTACATTCAAAAATTTAAAGTTAAAAAAATAGGAAATGAGCATCATAATAATAACGAGTTGTTGTGGTAATATTTAAAACTGTAATTAGTTAATAAAATATCCTATAAAGAAGTTATGGTAATATTAACAATCAGAAATTAAAACCTGACCTGATTATATGATCTAACATTTAATTCCAACACACTACAAATAATATCAATTTTTCTTTTTACTATAGCAAATATATTTGCATAACATATTTGAATAATAAATTATATTTTGGAAATTTTTAGCTCGAAAAAATTGAGTATATAATTTCATATTTCAAAAATCGTATGAAAATTATTAATATTCAAATTTAGTTCTAAAATTTGAACTTGAAATGATGATATTATATTGATCTTTAATTCTTTTCCGTTTAAAAATGGTTGAAAAAAGGAGAGAAAAATACTAAGAAAAGGAATTTATAGTATATGGTTCCATATGGGCATCATGGTCAGCATGGTCATTTTGCGTGAACAAAGTACGTGTACGTGTACGAGCATGCAATACAGTTCGAGGATTCTCCTGTCTTGGTAAAAAACAGGTAATTTGTATATTATTTTTCCTTAAAACCATACACATGTATTACCTTCTTTTCTGAAATACAATTTTGAAATTGAAATAATTTGTATTGCTGCTAAATCTGATTTTAAAATTTGGAAAATTTCAAATCAACGAATGATTTGGTTTTAAGGAATTCATGGAATGTGATATGGATTACATGCAACCGGCAGTGCATGAATCTGATTATGCAGCTGTAGACCCGTGGGAAGAAGATCGAAGAGAAGCTATGAAGCAACTTTATTCTCAGAAATATTTACCAGATGAATTAGAAAAGGAGAATTCAGGAAAAAGCAAAATAAAATTTATGCCGCATGAATCGGGGATTCGTCGGCATGAACGAAGTCCATCTTTGTTTTGGATTTTATAATGAAATTAATCTAAGAATCTCTCCCAAAAGCATCGGAATGTAAAAAAGAAAATTCTAACAAAAGCGAAAAGAAAAAGAAGCGTTTTAAAATTATTTTAAAACTTTTGATTTATAAAGGAAGTCAGAATCATATAAATAATGTTTGTTTGGAGTTCTGTAAAGATGCAATTCAGATATGATAATTTAAATAGGAAAAATTCAAATCTACTAAAAGTAGTAAGATTAAAGCCAAAAAATTAGTTCTCGACTGAGCAATGAAGAGGTAAAAAACGAAGTGTATAATCTGAAGGAGATTAGAAACAAAACATTTACTAGATATTGGACAATTTCTGCAGATTTAAATCAAAAATAATAAATTGTTAAAAGTGACAATAACGATTACAACGACACTTTAGTGCGTGCAACGACAAAAGGAGTTGATGGCGATCATACAGGGCCACATAAACAGATAGGAATACAAAATGACGAACAAACAAGTTAGTTTACTTTTTTTTCCGCATATGCCATCGACTTATGGTGACAAAAAATGAATTAGGAATAAATAAGTAAGTTAATTAATTAATAGTGCAATTCATTAATAAGTAAACAACGATCTGGGTCACACAATCAAAAGTTTGGACATAGAAACGAATCAATTAATTATTTTCGTGTATTCTCAAATGATATTTAATTAATCCATCAGTTTCAGCTTTAGATTAAAAAATAAATTTTTTCCGAAAGTTTTTGCAGCCTCAGCATTGGATGCTCGAAATTCCAACGCTACGGCAGGAAAATCATTACCATTATCACCTTTTGAAACTACCACAGGTACACCGTTATTAACCGATACTAAATTAGAATCAAATCATAAACTACAACAAGTTTCTCCATCTATTGACCAATTACCGATACAATCGATGAAACAGTCTTCTATGGCATCAAAATCATCACCTTTGCAATCAGTTCATAAGGCACCTCCGATCTCTCTTTTACCTCAATCGAGTCTACCACAATCACCAGATAAACCTGAACAAATCGAACAATCTGTGCTTTCTACAGCAACAGAAAAAATTTTAGTCGATCAAATAAATCAGATAGTTCCTTCGAAAGAACAAGAAGTGATTGCAGCTACGCCTACAAAAGTTTTGGTATGGATGCCACCTGGCATCACTACTTGGGTTTTACAAGAACCCTTAAACAATAATATCAATCATTTTGATATCAGCGCAACAACTCCCGTTATTGATTTGTTGAATCCTATTGCACCTGAATCCTCTATATCACAGATCAATAAATTACCAACAACATCATCATTAAGCTCACTGTCACCGTTATCACCTACAGAGCTAATAACGACAAAAATGCCAAAAATAATGGAAGTTCCATCAGACCATCAGTCTTCCATACCAGTACCAGTAGCTAAAGCACTAATGCCGATAAGCACTGCCGAGATAACAAGAAATAACGAGTTTCTCACTGACAATTCACAATTTATGCTTCCGGGATCGAATATAATGCAGAAAGAATTTAAAACCTTAACAACCAATTCAAGTCTCTTGAATCGCAATCATGGAATATCATTAAAGAAATCTGATCAAATTTTGTTAGTTTTTAAATTAATAATTCCACCGAGCAAATATTTCAAGTTTTCAGGAGAAATGAGCCATTTCTTTTTATTCATATAGAACGGTAGTCATTAGGTATCCATTTCTGGTATTTGTTTTGTTTGTTATCATTTAAGTATGAGATTTGATAATCTCGTTCAGTGATTTCGGAACAAAAAACGTAAGTTGTGTGATTTATAAAATTTTATAAACCAATAATTCATCAAAGAAATATGAAGTAGAGGAGAAGATCGACATGGAATATCGTCGTTCGGTATATTACCAGAACATAACGTTCATTCGAGATATGTTCCACGACTAGAATCACAAGTATCACCTTTTACACCAAAGACGTACGTCGTCGATCAATCACGCAGGACATTGGAAGATGGCAAAGCTGATTTTGATAAGGTATGAAAATGTAAAAAAAGCTATTACAAATAAATGAAATGAGGCTTTCATTGTTTATTGTTATTTTAGGAATAACGATCATAATGAGTAATATCTTTCATTACTATCTGAAATAATTCTAAATATTGTGTAAAATCACTGCATGATTAATAAGACGAATTTAATGATAATGCTATGAGCATTCTTATTCAATACAAAAACCATTACAATATTAAATTCTAATTATATAAATGAGTAAACCGCTAGTATTAATATTATTGTTGAACACCTAAACTATTTGTATTAAAAATTTTTGAAAAAAAAGTTAAAACAATAACAGGAAAAGTGTAGAATTGAAATGATTCCATGCTTGATATTAGGCAAAAGATAATGATAGAGCTGCTGATGATAATGATAAAATATTGGATTTATTATTGGAAGTAATGTCCTCTGATGATAATATCGATCAATCCAAGAAAAAATTATTGTCTAATAAGGTTATTAATTATTCAAGTGATTTTCAAATATAAGATGTATGCAGTATCAGTATTAAATATTTTAATACAAAGGGTCGATGATATTGATTGGAATTAAGAAATTAGAAAATTTCAGTTTATAATTTTTACAATATCCGTACTATTATCCATCATATAATCGTTAGCAATATCAATTCTAATTTAATTTAATGGGAAGTTAAAACCAATGGTATTATTGCAACGATATGCTTATTTTTGAGATGGTTTTTTCCTTTACATAATTTAATTTGATTCAGTGCAACAAATTTTACTTTTATGGATAACATTTATATAGCTTAGTCTTAATTTAGATGTGATTAAAACTCATAATTTAAAATTGAAACTTTAGAATTTTGGGGTCATTATCAGCATAATTAACTAAATTTAGTTAATTCTAACTAAATTTATAACTTATTATTATCAGAATTTCAAGTTTGAAACTTCAAAAATTACTGATATTTGCAATATTATCAAAGATATCATCGTTATTGCTGTCATAATAATTAGTTCTATATCGATAATATCAAATATCAATCATTTACTACAGCATTATGCCTTCACTTTGATTTTTAATGTTGAAAAAATTTCTCCTCAAATATAAATGTTTTGATAAGTTATAAATTGAGCAAAATGGGACTACTGTAAGAGTTCATAGTAATAATCATTTTGGCTTAAATCCTATGTTTTTCAGAATTCATATTTTGATCAGCCAAGCAGTAAGGAAATAAAATTGGATAAAATGAAGAAAAAAGTGAAAAGCCTACAAAAAGCTGTGAAAGCTATGGAGGTAATGTGAAATTGAATCGATTGAGTTCATCAAAATAGTTTTATTATACACAGTTCTGTAAAATATCGGCTTTTGATTTGGTACTTCATAACAGAACATTGTAAATTTTAAAATAAATTTCAGAATTAAGCTATAGAAAATTAAAAATAACAAAATTAAATTACAGGAAGCATTGAACGGAAGTAATGAAGTTGAAGCATATCGAAATGCGATGGATCTAAATTTAGTACTCAGAGGACCACCAACATCAACTTCATTTTCAACAACATCAACAACACCAATAGTTATCGATCAATCGAGGATGTTTTTAGTTACAATGAATGAAAATGCTAGTTAGTTTCAAATATTTTTAATTTTAAATTATTGATTTTTTTGTTTGATATATTAAGGATTTTTGTGATAAAATGAAGCATTCATCAGATCCAACAATGGTTGGTAACATTTGCACAACATTTCAATGATTAGTTACACATTTGGGAAATTCCAAATTACCCCAAAGGAATCAATGGAAGTGATGAATAAAAATGCATTGTTCACTGATCAATTTAACATTTGACGGTTGTTAAATATAGCATAGGCATAAATGGATTCAATCAACTCGAAAATAAGCTTTAAACTGTTAACAATTAAACTAATTTATGTTTTAACCGATAATAACTTACTTCAAAGTTTTAGAATCACATATCCTATCATAATTCATGACAGGATATGTGATTCGGAAGTTTTTCAAGTTTCTTAATGCATACGCAAATTTTTTATTATTTCTATTTAATATGAATGAAATGATGGCATAAGCATTGTCACTTCAATGTCACAGTATAATATCAAAGCATCATCATAATGCTATGAATATCTAAATAAAATATTAAAAAATTCAAAATTTTTCTAAAGTTTTAGAATGAATTCCTTTCTTCTTCTTTTTGAGAAGAATAAATTTTCGTTTTTTGAATATAATTCAACAATTAAACTTCACACTTTTTGATTCATTTTCAATTGAAAAAATATTTCTTTAGCATCAAATTGGTCAGAATGGACCAACTGGCAACAATGCTTCTGTGGAAAGCAAATTCGAACGCGAATATGTCATTATGAAACGCCATTTCTTGTAAGAGGATGCATGGGTAAAAGTTACGAATCACGTCCGTGCGATGGACGTGATCATTGCCCGTCAATATCAACGCCATTACCAGTTACAATATCGCCCATTTCAACAATCATTGAATCAAAATTTAGGCGATCACCATTATATCAACCACTTTCTATTGCTACTATGCAAAAATCAGATGATATAAGATGAAATATTTTATAGCTTAGAATACGAGCAATAATATCGATCAAGTTACTAATAATAATAGAAAATTACGACGATGTGATTTCTAAAAAATCAAATTAATATAACAATTTTTAACTTACCAGGATATCATATGTTAGGATAATCGTATTGTTTTAAAATTATTAGGATTATCATATTCTAACGTCATCTTATCGGTGTGTTGTTACACACAGTTCTTCTAAATTACTCTTATCATTTTATCAGGAAGAATTAGAGTAAAATTTTATTACACGTTCTCCAAATGACGATAAAAGCTTTTTGCTCATACATAATAGAGCACAAAATTGAAATATTACGAACATTACTAATAACTAATTTTCAAAATAATTATCGAAGTGAATACTAAAAGTAAATTATTTGATTATTCCCTTTCTTGTTAGTCATTTATATGAGATAAGAAGCATTCTTTGTTCTTGAAAATTATATTTGTAATAATTAGCAAATGGAAGAAAAGTAAAATTGATGATAATTTCAGAATAAAATAAGTTTGATCTTATTTTATTTCATTCCTATTAGGCATTTCTACTAAGCATATTTCATTCCTATCGTATCATTGCAAATTAAAATTTGAATTTAATAAATAAAAAAATTTTCATTTTATATTCAGGAAATTTTTTTGTATCGTTTAATTTTTGTTAATTAAAAAAAAAACATATAAATAGCATAAATTATATAATCCTTTTTTTTCTGTTATTTACTGTTCTCATAAAATTTCATTATTATATTGTACACATTGAGAACTGAAATAATAAAAATAACAGAATTTAAGATTGAAAAAAAAAGAAGGATTTTAGGTCATTAATTAATTAATTCATATTTTTATGTTTGCAAATCCACAATAGTATATATTTTATTATCGCATATTTGAATAATATTGGGGTGTTAGTAATACTAAGTTTTTTCATCATCTTTTCGTGTTCCATTAATAGTATTAGTGATTTTGGTATTGGCAATCCGTTCATATTCATGGCACTTCTTTTCCAATTCAGATGCAACAAATCGAAATTCGAAATCAATCGCTGCTTTATTCAATGGATTATCTCTATCTCTCGATGGCGAATCTCTAGAAGTAAAGTACACTATGACTATTAGACAGACGCATCTCATTTTAATATATTAATATTGTTAAAAATTCTATTAGCATTGAAAAAACAAATTCATTTCTATCCCTTTTTTACTCTCTTCCTCTTCTTTTTTTGCTCTATCTCTTTCTCTCTTTCTCTCTCTCCCTCTCTCTCATCCTTCTCACCATAAATTTGTTATGGAATGGAACTCTTATTTCCATTTATTTGTTTTCTCATTTAAATTTAAAGTTATATTTAAATGATTGGAAAAAAGGAAATCGAAATGAATGAATGAAAAAAAAAGGAATATATTATTAGCAATATATTTCTAAATTATTCGAAATTTTATTTCCAAAAAATTTTGCATAAATAAAAGAGAAAATTATATTTTCTTAAATTTTTTTGTTAAAAAACTTTTTTCCTTTTTTCTTTCCAAAAAAACAAAATTTCTACAAATTTCAAATGAAACGATTCTCAATTTTTATTTTAATTTATTACAATTAATTAAATTGATTGTAAAACAATGAATGAAAATTATTGATTTATTACGTCATAATCATTGAATAAATATAAAAATTCTTTCATCGAAGTTATTTCCAGTATTGAACACTGAATGAAATACTTCAGAATAAGGCCACAATAGCAAAAAGAATAAGACTAAATTAGTAAAAATGGTCGTTTTCGAATCGAAAACACTAGAAGTGAAGTGATAGAAAAAGGAAAAAGGATACGATTACTACAATCATTTATATACGGTAGGCAGAACGATTACTACAATCATTTATATACGGTAGGTAGAACGATTACTATAATCATTTATATCCGGTAGAAGGATTTTAAAATATCATTTAATGTGGCATATTTGCAAATAATTTGGAAAGATATTTTTGATACGTGGGTTTCGAAAAAATTACCGAAAAATATGTTTTGCGTATTATTGAGAAAAAGACGATTATGTGAAGCATATGGAGCTATTGTGTTACTGTCTTCTATATTTAATTACTGTACCTCTTCTCACATTATTATTATTATTATTATTATTATTATTATAAGTGGGTGCATAATATTTTACACTTACTATAATTATTACCTTATTTTTTTTTATTTGTGACTATCATGTCACGATTACCACCATTGCTATCATTTATTATTATTATTCATTATTATTGTTATTATTGTCATTTATTATTATTAATTACTATTAATTATTATTAATTATTATTATACGTTATTATTATTATTAGTATATCATTACATAATTATAATTAACAACTGTTAATTGCGATCACAATTGTAATTGTATTCTAATTATAACATAATTACAGGTGTGGGTAAATTAGAACTTTATAAATTCAAGAAATAAATGACTTAAAAATAAAAGTATTAAATGAATGAAAGTGAAAATTAAACGAGTAAAGCATTTCATCGTAATTGCATTTTCCATAAGAAAAAAAAAGCTAACATATAAGAAATCGCAGAAGTCCTAGTAGAATTTCCTCTGCCACAACTGAAGTCCATGCTATTATCATCGTGCATTGCGTTATTCGGAAGTACGTTCGGTTTCGAAATACAAAATTGCTAAAACAAAAGAAAGCATGGCAATGATATCAAGTAAACAAATGAATTTTTAGCCTAACTTTTTGCTGCAGTAATTAATAAATAATTTCGATTTTAGTTAAATCAGAATATGAATCATACATGCAAATATTTATAAGATAATTTAGCACTTAGCAATTTCAATATTTTAAAGTTATACTATACTTCTGCAGAATTGCTTTTTTTTGTTTATTTTTAGAAGAACAGCTTTTTGTTCAATGAATGAATGAGTGCAATTAAAAATTTATAATACAGTAACTTTACTCTATTTGTGAATAATTGGAAGGAATGTAATTGTGCATGAAATAAATGAAATATTTAAATGAGATATTTGAATAAGAAAGTTAAAAACAAAGGATATTATGGTTGAATGAAAGAGATTGAAGTAAGAAACGAAAAATATCCTATAAATTCTTCTGTAATTACATATGTTTGTGAATTGTTCTGATAAATGCATGTAAACAATTTATTTAGATAAATAAAAATATTTTATGAAAAATTTTCCTTCTATACTAAACATTGATTTCATTGCTATCCTTTTATTGTTAATTATTTTTGGATCATAAAATCATTGATTTCTTTTCCACAAATTATAATCAAAATTGTTTATGATAAATAAATAAATCAAAAAGCAAACAAATGAATTGTTAAGCATATAAGCAAATAAATAAACAAAGAGCAGAGATAATAAAGTTTAATAAAAAATGTCCATAACAATACAGCAGCAGTGATAGTAATAGCAGAGATAACTAAGATGTGCTCAAGTTTGTATAAACTACTGGCAAATAAAATGAAACCCAAATTATAGCTAATACAAGCCATTTTTTTGATATAAAGATTCTGGAAAAAATTTTCAAATCCCGCAAACTCTTACAACCATTTAATTAGAATTATGAATGTATTTGAATCTTTAAATTAAGTAAGCAACCAAAATATACAAAATGCCAGTTTTTTCATATTCTTAAATTTAAATAAAAAATTCTTAGTTAATTTCAATTATATTTGTGCCTGCTTTTTCGATATCAAAATTATTTCCCTTAATTAGTAATACTGAATTCTTGCCTTTATTCTTTTTTTTTGAAATTTCAGATTTTATATTTTAACCTTCTTTCCCTCTTTCTATTATTATTGCAAAATTATAATTAGTTGTTCGCTTCTTAATTTACAAATTACAAAAGCTCACAATATTTCACTGTAACAATTCAATTCGAATTATTAATGAAGAACCTTATTTGGAAAATTAAGCGCCGAAATGAATGCGAGTTTGGCGCAATTATCAACAGGACTTAATAGTTCTTCGTAAGCGGCAACCGTAGCACTCGAATTAATTGTCGGTAATCGATAACGACGAAGATATGGTGATGGATTGTGCACTCCTAAACGGTAAATATAATTTGATACAACAGAAAAATGAAAATTTAATTTTTAATAAAAGTTAAATTAATTTAATAGTTCGCCAAAGAAAAAGGAAAAAGTAAATGAGAAAGATTGTAACCAAGAAATTTTATTATAATGTAACTGATCGAACAGAACGATTGATATCATCGATTATTAAAATATATAATTTCAACAACCTTAAATTTTTATAAACCGAAATTTTATGCTTAATAAATTAATTATAAATTTCGTTTGGAAAACAATCAATAATATCCAATGTCGATATATTATTAATTAGATAAATTTTTTTTTAATATATCTTCACACAAGTATTCTTAATTTCAGCTGGGATGATTATCAATCAATATTGATTATTGATTTAAATTTAATAAAAAATTTTTCCGCTTTGATTAACTTTTCGGTTTAATCATTCTATAACATTCTTTGAAATATTAATTAATTATTTCATTTAAAATTTCAAACTTTTTTTCTTCACAAATATTCAATAATTTTTTAAAACATTTTCTGATTGAAAAAAGTTATAATATATTAATTGCGTAGTAATTTCACTTTATCCAACGGAAAATAAATATGTTTGTATTGATGTCGAATAAATTCATTCTTCAACTCTATTATTTTGTGATTTTAAAATGGCAATAACAAATTTTGAAATTACTAAAAAAGAAGACAATTTCTTGTTTTTCTCTCTCCCTCCTTCTCTCTCTCTCCCTCTCTCTCTGTCGTTATGTTTCATTTGGCTTTTTATTTTATGTGATTTGAAAATGGTACTTAAAGCTATCAAATTCTATGAGTATAATTAGGAGTAGAAATTTTGCTATTTTATCTCTCATATTTTATTTTTTTTGTTTTTATTTTTAATTAGGCACATATAATTTTTGTAAAAAATTTCAACTAATACTATTATTATGACCTAAAAATAATTAATAGCAATAATTTGCAATTGTCATATTTATTACATTATAAATATATACTTTGCAATAAATGGATTCTGTTTATTATCACACAGTAATTTGCATTCTTCCGATATAAAAAGAAAATAGGATAAATAAATAAATAAATAAATAAACGAATAAATAAACAAACAATTAAAAAAATTTTTCATTAACCTAAAAATACAAAAATATATTTTAAAAAAGAATGTAAAATTAAATTTAACAAAAAAATTAAACTTTTTTTTAAAAATTGTTGCATTTTCTACGATAGCATATAAATTTATTTATTTATTCTGCAAATATTCTACGCATAAAATTAAATAATACTAATTAAGTAAACTAAAAATGGAAGGATAAAACTATAAAATTTACTAATAAAACATTGAAGTGTCAATTGGTCCTTTTGAACAAAGATTTAATTAATGGTATAATAATAAGTTAAATAATGCAAATGATAATAATATATATTTTTAAATTATTTTTTTTACAAATAAGAATTTTTGTCATTGTCCAATAGAAAGAAATATTCATAATTACGCATTTTTTATCGGCTATAAAATATTTATGAAATAAGAAAATTTTTAATATAACAAAAAATAGTTGACAGCTCCTTTCTCTTCTTTATTATTCTGTTTTCATAAAAGATTAAAATTATTTTATGCTAATAAAAGTGTAAAGTATAAATGATTAAGTGTAAACATTTTCAATTAATTTTGACCAATGGACGAAGATTCCAAGTACCAAAATTAGATTAGCACAAATATTAGTAATTTCAAACAGATATTTCTCTGCAAAAATTTGCATGGAAATGAAAAAAGTAACTTTAATTGTAAAATAACTAAAAAAAATTATTATAAAATAATTGGAAAGAAAACAAATAAGTCTTCAATTAAAAAAGAAAGAAACCTGAAATGGGAGTATGTGACATACTTCAAACAAAATGGCCACGTATTCCACGTTTGTCTCGTAACAATCTATTCCCAATATATGCGCTCTAATTTCCGTTCTTATCACTTAAAACTTTCACAATAATCGATTTCAAAAAATAAAATTGTGGAAGGAAGAAAGCAAATAAGGAAGCATATATAAGTATAGAAGATTGAAAAAAATTTTTACGTTCGATAGAGCTTTAAGCTTCTTTTTCATACTTCGGCTGTTAGCCAAAAAAGGGAAAACGATGGATTTTTTGGTTTTAGTATTGTTAAGAGTGATAGTTTGAGAAAAATAAAAATAATGTATTTGAAGTATGCTCTAAAAGAAGTTTTGAAATGGATGGATGAAATATTTGAACAAATATATTTATCAGTAACTAAGATCTTTTTTGAACCCCTAGACTTACTTCATCTTCGTTTATTTTACCCTCGTCCTATTTATTCATCAATTTCTTGCACTCCGCTTACTATTCTTTATTCCTGCATACCAATGAAATCAAATTACCCCATAAATTAGCTAATTGTTATTGCTGTAACAGACAAGCTATCTCTATTATTGATGGAGATTTCGAAAATTTTGAATATTATAAACACATAAAATACCATTTATAATATTTTTCATTTTTTGATTTCCATTTTTGTTATCTTTTCAGTATTACTTCTTTCACCTGACTGTCTTCTCTTCATTCCCTCTTCTTTCATTCATTTTATTCAAAAATTATGAAAAATATTCTGCAGATATATGTTACTTTTTATAGAAGCATAAAGCTTCCACCTTCCATTTTTATATTCATTTCTTAATAATCAATCTTCTGCTCACACATTTTCGAAACGTAAATTAAATTGATAACGATTAGCAATAATGATGAATAATAACAATAAAAAATAAAAACAAATAATAATGATAATAAGGAATAATTATTCAAACGCCTTTGCTACATCGGCTATATTTAGAACTAAGATGGAGAAAGATTGAGAAAAATAATTTTTGGAAAAAACGAACAAAATTCTATCATTTTATTCCAACCAAAAAGAGAGAGAGAGAGAGAGAGAGGGAGAGAGAGAGAAAAAAAGGATGGATAAATCAATCTGTCTTATTCATAAAAGATGTCTTAAATATAGAATAATAAACCATATTTTCCCTCTCTAAACTTTTCTAAATTTGCAATTTATCATAATATTTCGAGAGATATTTGGACTTCAACTAATATTTCACAATTCATAAATTATAATCAAATGTTTGAGGAATATTCTAAAATTTTGTCTAAATTAAAGACATAAGCATCAAAACAAGTTACCAATCAATGACCATTACCATCAACCAGTTTTGCTACTAATTATTCAAAGAATTTGTTAATATGAAGCTATGTCAATCAATCATCGAGGTACATTTAGCGCCATCTAGGAAGTATACAGTTCTCCGGGGTCGGATCTCTTAAATGAAACATGCATACTCCATCCGGTTTGCCGGATGGTTACTACATCATTTCCCGAAAAAACATTAGATTAAGAAATTTGATAATCTGATTCACCCTAGCGTAGATTCTCCGAACCACCCATGTCCTTTCGGTCGCTTTTAAAATCCACAAGCGGCATTTTACTTCAGAAATTATAAAATATTTCCTTTACTAGTGTGTTCTACCTTCTGTTTCGCTCATTGTTAGAAATATCTATATGAGTTATTTTCCGCTCTCTAGTACCCGGTTTTTCATTAAATTAAAATGAAATGCTGAGGACAGCAAACTCAAAAGAGATGGCGCGAGAAATAGTACATCCGAAGGTTCACATTATTCCGGACCATGAGTAAAGACTTTTAATTTAACTAATTTCAACTGCTGATTTATTTACATGCAATAATGCAATTGAAATATGGTTATATCCACATTTAGGTGGGCTGAAATTCAATTTTTTAAAATCCAACAACAAAGTCATCTTCTTTTTGAGACGCATTAAACAATATTTAAAATTCACATATCTTCTAAGCATTTACCAGATTTTAACGTGATAAATATGTGTACAATAATTTTTTTGCAATATTTTTGATGAATTAAATAGCTTTTATAGCCTTAACTGGGCTGTACTATTTGATCAAATTATCTGGATTAATAAAAGAATTAACACAATCCATGAACCAATTCAAGAAAAGGCAAATTCAGCAACGAAAGCTATGCAGTTGAGATAACAAAGAATTCCATTTAAAGAAAAGTTCTGATTCGACAAAAGTAACAAATCTATTGAATACAGGGAGAACTATTTTGTTCAGTTCCCTCTTTTTTCGATCCTCCGCGTTTTCCAATTTTTCCAATTTCCAATTTCAGGAATCGTGCAAACGGGAACGAAATCATTTCTGACTCAATAACAATTGACGTATCTCAAAACAAAGACGAGTTAAACATTCATCTAAGTTGAGTGGCAGTATTCCGTTCACAACCTGAACATCATTAGTAAGTACAATATCCCAATCAGTATACTCGTCGAGACCACATTCAGTCATTTGATCATCAATACCTCTGACAAATACGAAACCGCGCAATTTCCGGACTGGTAACGTCGTTTCGATGCGCAATAGTCTGTAAGTTATCAAAGAATTACGTTATTTTCAGTCTGCTTAAAAGAGAACTCAGGACAAAACTTGGATAACTCAAAAAAAAAAACAATGCCAATCAAGTCAGTCTGAAAAAGGGCCAAAAATTTTGTGATTAACGTTTATAATTAAATATGGACTATTTTCCAGTGGAAATAATGGTAAATGATTATACAAGACACGTAACCTTAAACGGGAACCAGAATGTATTTTAAAAAACTCAATATCAGAAATTCGTCGACAATCAGTCACAATTAATACATCGGCTGAATCTGCATTCACGAAAACTTTCCTGAAATAATCAATAATTCTAGTCACTCAACCTTATATTAATACTTACAACTTAATTTCAGTTTCATCCACTGTGATTATTCCCTTTTTTAATTGTTAGAGGAAAACAGAAATAATTTTTCATCCTAGTTTACCTGCAAAAATATCCAGGATCATTGCTTCGCATCCTTTCGCCCCAAGCAACCATATCTTGACGATATATTTCCTTGTACCGTATATCGTATTTCAAGCGTTCAGCATCAACACCATTCAACTGAGCATACTCCTCCTTGAGTGGATAACTTATACCACAGATGATAACTTTATAACCAATCTTTTCTAATCGATTCGCCAACAAATTCCCCACATAATCTTTACCACACTTCCGTTTGCCAGAAAGGCAAACGACCACAGGCTTCATTTTTCTGCAACCATTCCCGATAGAACTAGATTTTTAAGAAACTGTCAGAAATTTCCTGCAGTATTAACAGCACGTGATTCCGCTATCAAACTCTCACTCACCAGATTTATCTCGTCAAGAAACGTGGTAGCCGGACTGCACATGTAAGATACGATTATATAATCATCATAGATCATTTAGCTCTTTCCTGAAAGAGATGAACAAGCAAGTAGAACAATAAAATTTCTTACGTAACATTCAACCACAGCAACCGAACGAAGAAAAACCTGAATCACGACTCCTACTGTCCGAAATAGTTCACAAACGAATATTACTGAATCATAAACAAGCATTGCGACCTTTCAGACAGAGACATGGTTGCACCATTTCATCTGCTTCAAAGAAAAAAACAGGAGAAAGCAAAGCCTGAATTCTTTACCCATTAATCACCTTTATCATCTAATCCCCTAGTACGATATTAACAATTATTGCATTTCTCACTTCTCACTGTGGGAATCTAGCAATTTTTATAATCCTGAGCATTTCGTAATAATAAATGTTATTTAAAAATTTTCTGAAAAACTAGCTACAACAGAAACACAAAACGAATAACTTCATCGGTTCGCAATAATTTATTTGAAATTTCAGACATCTGTTTAATCAAATCAGCGCTATATAACAAGAATTATGAAAAAAATGAACAAAAAAATATAGGACAAATGTTTGAACACATTGGTAACTCTTGCGTGGAATATCACTTCACCACATATATCATATCTTTCGTGTGTGAATAAACCTAATCATCAAAAAAATTACATTTATCCACCAACGATAATATTATTAATTGGGATATGGATCAGCTTGACAAAGAAACCGATAAAACCCATTATGGCAAAACCGACTGCTGTTGCTACTGCGATTTTCTGATACTCTGAAAAACTCATTTGTGGAAATTTCAAATGACATTATTTCTACAATTTATTATCCTACTATGCTTACCGAATCTCAACTTCCTTTTTTAACGCGTTTGAATTTGACATGTTATATCTTCTTAGTCTCATCTGTTCCTATGGCTACGGTTTAAAGAAATTTTCTAACATGTTAAAGAAAAAACTACAATTTACAATTCAGTAAGATATAAACAAAACTCATTAATCTTAAACTATATCATCCATAATCCCGATAGAATCGAAGCTACAATATACAATAATTAAAAATGTGCAAACAATGACAACAAACAATCCTCGAAAAAAATAAATTAAATTAAGTTATCTAGGTATTCGAAAGAAGGACTATTTCTGAAAAATGATCGAATCAATCAAAGCATACATTACCTTTCCGATCCGGTTTTGTGCACCTTTTCACCAACCGAATTGAATCTTTGGCGAACTGCTTGCTTGGATCAATTAATGCTTGCAAATGATCCATTAAATTAGCCCTGAACAAAAAAAGCGGCTTAAAACAAAATTTGACCCTTACACAAAAAATTTGCGAAAAATTCAAAGACCCGGATTTTTAAGTTGAAAATAGCCAAAGCAAGAAAACCAGAATTTTTTCTATTTTCTGATATTTGCCCCCTTATCACAAGCATTTACGACTCTCGATAATATCCGAGGTGTGAGCTCTCAAACTCACAAGCTCTCAAGCTACGCTTCTAATGAAAAGAAGATCCAAATGTCTCGTTCGTCCAACTAATTATTTCCCAGCCTTCAGCCTTCAGAAAAACGCTAAGTAAAAAAAATCTCAAGTCATAACAGGATATTTCTGTTTAACCTAACATTTGGGTCTGTTGGCTTCTGGAAACAAGCTTAAAATACCAGTTCACGTTTCCATCCGCCCACCCACGAATTGTGCAACAACTTCTGGTAAACTAAAATCGCCACCCATTCGGATTCTCGATATTTAGCTTCTGGTAGGCCCTGCCCGGCCACTCATCAGGAAAGGATAACATCCCCCACGGACAACCAAAGTGATAACTTATTTAATAATTACTCCGCTTCCCGCGCAAACATGCCAGCACCACTCTCAACCAAATGGAAATTTGTTTAAATTCACTTCCACGAGGTTCAGGGAACACAATGCCAAAAATCAACATACTATTCATATGCTACCTTATCATTCGTCGCTCACTCATGTCATACACTATTTTCTTTACGTATTTTGTCTAGTTTCGCTTCTTTAACTATTTTTATGCTACTTAACTATATATAATCCATTAAAAATGCTTTAATAAATTATAAAATTGATAACTTATTTAATAATTTAAAACTCAGACGATATTTTGCTCAATTCTAGCTCACTTTCTACATAATTCTACTCTTCTCCTTCCTCCTTTCCCCTGTACTCCTTTTCTCCTCCCTCTTTCTCTCAAATTTCTTCCAACGTTTGACTATTCATTATATACAATTCAGAAAACTGCAGCAAATTTTCACTGTAGGATTTGAAATATATTTTTCAGCTCTATTTCTTCTATGGTATTTTCAAAGTGGGATTACTGTCAAGAGCTGATAATTCGGAATGATTTAATCTTACCAGTTAGAATAACTGATAAGACGAAAATTTTTTGCAAGATTTATCGCTTTGAAAAGCCATTCACTGATTATTTTTTGATATCAGTAATTTTGTTAATTTTGTCATTTTTTAAATGACAAAATTAACAAAATTGATTATGATTAAATGTTAGTTTCCACTTGTATTTGAATTAAAATTGCTTTTGAAATTCTCACTTAATCTTAAAAGTACTGTGTTGCTTTTATGCTAATTAAAAATGTGCCTTCTAGAATTCTGTGATATAATTTCAATCTTAATTGTTTGTTACTTAATCTTCATGAAAGCAACGGAATGATTTTTCAAATTTTCGGCAGTACGTGGTTCAATTTTTTAAGGCTTTTATAAATGTATGGCTGAAATGGTTGTAACTATCTGGACGTTCCTATTTCCAATTAGTTCGAAATTCAAATTATTTCAAATTATTTTGAAATTATTTCAAATTATTTCCTATTTCGATTTGCTTTAGGACCAGATGAATCCATACGTTATTATTACGATCAGTCGAAATATTTTAAAAAAAAAGAGCAAATTTTCGTTCATTTTTTTCCGATCTTTCCCATTTCAACAGCATTATAAATGTCATTGTCATTGGACATTTTAGGGTTATCATTTGCTTTTCAAAGCCATTTGTTAATTAGTCATCTTTGGGAGAATATCATCTCTATGAATATTGAAATTTTCGAAAATTATTTGTTCTCTTTTTTTTTTGGAAGCGTTGTATGATTATAAAATGAAAACACAATAAATTCTAAATTCTATCTTCCTATTAATATTTCTGTTATTATTAATATTTTTTTTTTCTTTTATAATGTTATTATTTATATTAATTATCGTTCAACAAAGTTGTCAACAATATTGTTTGTATTATTAAATTCAATAATGACATTAAAGATAATTTGGAAAGGTTTAAAATTCATATATTTTTCTTCCTTTATCTATGATATATGAAAAAGATTTTGAAAGTAATTGCATCATAATCATTCATGATATCGACAGAAATCGCCAGAAAAGAATTTTCAATAAAAATTTGCGAAATTTAGCAAATTTGAAACAATACGTAATTAGCAAAAAGATCGAAACGCTTATGGACGAATTTCTGGGCCGAAAAGTTTTCAATAAAAGTTTTAAAAAATTCAACAAATTTGAAGAATATATGAAAAAGAAAGATGGGAAAGAGGATAGTGAGTGAAATCGGATTGTTCCGGTTTCACTCACTATCTTTTTCGGTCTCTATTCATGAAATCAACCTTTCATAATGCCGAATTTTTAATTAATTAAGCACATAAAAATATAATAATTCCTTTAAAAAAGGGATCTTTGAGAATAAAATTTTCAGGGAATATCACGAAAAATTCACTTAATTCCTATCAAATCAATATTTTGATAGAAATTTATAAGAAAAACTTCTAAAAAAAAAAAAAGTTTCAAGTTAAATCCGAACTTTCCTTAAAAATGAAATGGGAGAGACAAATTAAAAGGTTAAGCAATTTTGAGAAATAATTGATTAATAGAATTAAATGAAAAGATAATTTCGAAAATTGAATTATCAGTAAAATGAATGGATGACGTAACGGAAGAAGAGGAAGAAGAAGAAGAAGAAGAAGGTTAAGGGAAATGAAAGAAAAGATAGGAAAAAGGAAGTAAAGAGAGAAAAAGATATCTTACTCATAGGAATTAGAAATATATTTTCATCATCAATATTTCTCTGTCCCATTTGTTATAATTGCTCTGATTGTGGGAAAATTTCATTGTCAAACCATTTCGATTCATTTCATTCATTTCAATCCATTTCATGTTTAAAAATAAAACCAGTTTCATCATGTGTGGGTGGATGGGTGAGTGGGTGATGCAAAATGAATAAAATAAATTTGTGAATTATAAGAAAGCTAAAGAGCGGAAAAAGTCAATAAGATAGAAGAAAATTGATAGAATTATGAAAAGAAATTTACTTCAAATAAAATTATAGTTTCGTAAATTTCTTACCTTTTTTTTTCAATTTACCTAATTTTTATTTTTCTCTCACTATCATATTCTCTCTTCTTCTTCCCTACTCTTTCCTTCATTTACCTTAATTTGCATTTATTGCTTAAAACGTGTATTGATATGAATTGAAAAATATATGATCAACCAAGCATTATCGCCATCTTCTCTGCGGCTCAACATTCATTCATTTACAAAACAGGATTTTATGACGTACACAACACACACACACACACACACACACACAAAATCATGTGAAATGGAAAATAAGAAAGAGAGAGATGAATGAAGATTTTGCTCAAACTACACTTCTCCATCAGTGGTTGTCAAAAACTCTGTTTATGTTTCGTGATGTAGCCATCTTTGTTAATTTAATCATGATCAATATGTACATATCAATGTTACCATTATTATTATTACTATTATTATTATTATTTATTGTTTATTATTATTATTTTAATAATTAATAATAATTATAATTTTTTTATAACTATTATTAATTAACATAATCTGTTTTTAATATTTAATAATTATAAATTATTATTTACTATTATTAATTGTTATTAATTATCATAATTATTATTTATTAACATCATTATTATTATTAATTATTACTAATTACTATTTATTATTATTGCTATTACTAGCAGTAGCAGTAATAGCAACAATAGTAAATCATTGTTATAATGGTACTGCTGGATTTATTATTATTATCACGAATAGAATTGCTTATATGTCTTGCCTGATTAGAAAACGATAATATATTGTTAAACAGGATAATAGCTATTATTTGAATTACGAACGAATAATATTGTTGATAATTATATCAACAACGATGATAATGATGGTAATAATGTTGATGATGATGGTAGGATCGATGCATTTTCATATCACGATTGATGCATCGCAATTTCCGGATGACTTTGATTCATTTCTCGAAATGTTATTTGAACATACAGAATGTTAGTTTTTTTTTTTCTCTTAAAATTAATTACTTGTTTTGTTTCTTGCTTTGTTTTAGTCTTTCAACAACGCTAAAATTTCAAATTTCAGCATTTCTTCATTTTTCTAATGAGTTTAATTTCAATTCTGATCAACACTTGCATGCCTGCATGCTATTAATAACGGTTGCAAATCAATATATGCAAATGACATTAGAAAAGTGATAACAAATAATTTGCAGGTGAAGATTTTCTCTCAGATGATAAATGGTCTGCAGTTGGTTTACGTGACTGCAAACCATACTTATGCAATTTTCCACGTGAACTTTGCAGACGACCTGCTGCAAAATATCAAGATGAGACGAGCAATAGATGCTCTAGAATACCTGAAAATGTAAATTTTTCTTTGTTTCACAAACTTTATTTTTTTGACAATGTCGGTGATAAAAATGTTCGTATTGCAAAAAATGATTATACTAATTATTAAATGAAATAATTGCATGGAAATTTATTGGATAAACTTGCAGTAAACATTTCTTTTAACATTTTAGTCTTTAGGTTTTCATAAAACTATTGAATCTTTCCTTAGTATTTGAAATTTTTCAGTAAAAATTTTTAAAAAAATAAAACAAAAGATTTTTTTGGATAATTTCAAAATTGTTAAAGCAGTTGTAGTGTTTAACCGCAGCTAATGGTGGAACACCGTTAAAAACTGATGCTAATTCTATTACCGATAATGGAATTACAAATTCAAATATCGAAGATTTGGAATCAACAACAGTTACATTCTCACTGACAAGCCATAGCAATGAAATTTCCACTGAGGCACCATCATCCATTCCTACCGAGAGTATATTTACATACATTTTGTTTTTCGATTCGAATATTTACTACAAATTTCAATTCATTAGACTGTAGAATTTTAACTCTTTCTAACAATTAATTACCATATATTTCTTAAGCGATCATTCCCAATATTCCTTAAAACTTGCTATAGTGGTAGCTGATATGCCAGTTTGATGTGAAACTTTATTTTGATAATATAATCTGAATCTCAATATAGCCTGAAATGATGCAACATCAATTTCATTTATTTAATCTCTGATATAATTCAAATTAGGGTTTGCATTACACTTCTGCAATTGGAAAATTAATTTTTTAGCCAATTAAATCCTGAGATTTTGAACTTTATTTTCATCTTTAACTTCATTTATTTTTGTAAGTTTGACTGCTTTGATTTATTTTAATTTCTTTTGATATTAAAAAGAACTAAATTCGATTCGATGTCTCAATTTTATGTTACATAAATTATGGAAAGTTGTTGCTGTGAAATCCATTCATTACAGTTGCTTATTCATTTCATAAACTTTTCACAAGCAATAATATAAAATTAAAAATAACTTTGATTGCTTTTACAGAAATAACGACGAAATCAATTGATAACTCGGTAGATATATGTAATTTGGATCAACCACAAGGAAGATTTTGCGGATTTGTAATTAAAGTAGCTTATAACAGGCTAGTTTTTAAATTTTAACTAAATTTAAAATTATTCTAATTGAATTTTTTCTTCATTTGTTATTACTACCATTCCAAAAAATTAGTTATCCGTTAGGATAACAACAATAATAATAATAATGATTATTATGGTAATAAGAATATCAATGACAATAATAATAATTATTAACAAAAATTAATAATGATGATGATGATAACAATAAATAATAATTGTAATTATTAATAGCAGTAATAATAATAATAATAATAATAATAATGAATGATAAATTATGATGATCTCTTGTGATAAGTATCCTAAGGTAGGATAAGATTATTGTAGAAAGGTAGCCATTAAATGTTATCAGCAAAAGTTTCGTTGTTTGTGATATAATTTTCCCATAATTTTTTGAGCAAAATATGAAATTTTGAGAGAAAAATAAATGAATTTTTTTAAAGATCAAATTTTTTATAAATGCAAAAGGCATAAAATGGATTTTTCATCAATGATTGGTCAATTCCTTTGATTTCGTTTATTCCTTCAACAACTTTTATTCTTTTTAAAAAAGTTAAAGAAAAAGGTATTCATTAATTATTAATGATTTCATTCCTGAATGCTATTTCATATTTTTTAGAAATAATCAACGATGTGAACAATTTTGGTTTCCCGGTTGTCGCACAATTCAAACAAACCAAAATTTATTTGATTCGGTAAAAGAATGTATTGAAAAGACTACTGTGTGCAAAGGTGTGCGATTTGATTTAGGCCAAACAGTTTTATTTTTTATTCGTAATAATTGCTCTCATTAATACTAATAGCAATTTTTAGGTATGAATCAAATGAATGGCTTTAGTTTAGGACTTTAGAAATGAAAAATATTTTATATAATAAATTTATTTTAATTAATTAATGAATTACAAAACAGGATGTTTTAATCGATTAAATTTAGCAATATCAAGGTTTACATTCTAGTTTACTGATAAATTTCAGGATTCGATATTATGAAACTATTAATACATGTTTTTAGGTACAGGATCCTTCGTACCATTCTTCACAACTCGTCATCCGGCAATACCAGGTTCCGTAGAAACATCACCACCATCACCAATACCATTGGTGGCACCATTTTTGGCTACTACTACTACTGTACCTCCAGCTGTAGTATCAAGTATTATTGATATTACTACATCTGTGAAATCTAGAATGGCACCAACAGCCCGACCACCACGACTACCATCATGGATTGATGAAATTTCGGGCGAAGTAGAAAATCAGCATGTTCAAATTGTTGATCCAAAACCTTTATTAAAACAACCTCAACTAACGGCACAACCATATTGGATGAGTAATCCTACGGGTGCCAGAATGATACTTGGCTTAATTTCTAGCGGCATATCACAATTTACTGGTGGAGGATCAGAAGAGGCAGGAGGTGATGGTTTATTCCATCAGTTACCTCAATTTCTTCGTTTACTACAAGGAGGATAAAAAGGAAAGAGTTTCACTCCTGTAATATTTTATTCGTTCATTCGCGATATCACTATACATCTCTTTATGTTTTTTCCTCTTTTACCTTATCAAGTTACCATACAGCTGCAGTGTTGCAGCGGAATTATTGCTGTAAATAGTATGCAACTGTTAAGCAGTTGTTAGTTTTGAATGATAATTTAAAAAAAAACATTTACTCTTTCATCTGTAAGTTTTTCTTCTTGCTGTGTGCTGCTATTTTTAAGTAATTACATGGATTTTAGGTTTTTAAAATTCCAAAATAACCAAATTTCAAGATTTATTTTCCAAAGTTGTTCAGATGCGAAATCATTGCTAAATAAATTAGATTACATAATTACAGATATATCTTATTCATTTTTAATTTTACCGCATAATATTTAGAAATTGAATAAGATTAGAGGAAAAGGATGAGATCAACACATTTCTTTAGATCTTCTCATCTAAACTTTTCATCCAAGTTTAGGACTATTCATTTGTTTTATATTTTCTTTTACATCTTAAAATTACTGTGCTAACAAATTCCCGAAGAAAATTTGCAAAGAATCGTAAACGTTACTATATATATATATATATTGTCGTGGCTTTTATTTTATTTTATTTTTTTTGGTAAATTTTGTTTAATTATAGTATCAATGAGTAATTAAATAAGCAGGTAATGCTAATAATAATTTAAGCGAAGATGAATCTAAAATACATATTTGAATTTAATTTAGCTTACTTTCAGTTTCTCTTTTTGTTCTCTTCCTTAACAAATATTTATTTCCAAAGTCAAAATGTAAAATGACAAGTTTAAAATATGAAATGATAAGCCATCTTAGATTATTCAACATTGTAGGATTTTTATTCTTTTTTCGTAAAATATATTTGAGATGGGAAATTTATTTATGATTTCAATGGAATTGCTTTATTAGATATATTGGAATATTTGCATTTCTTTTTCAAAATGAATTTATTGATATATTTGGATATTATGCTTATTTGATTTCTTACTAAAATATGTTTGAGACCATTTATCTTCAAAATTTGTCCAAATTAAAAATATTTTTAAAAAATAGTTTTCAAAAATTAAATTGGAAGAAATATCTTTTGAAATAAAATAATTCATGAAATTTGTTACAATTTATAAATGAATGAAAGAACAGAATTATAAAATTCTTCAGAAAATTCCTAATTTATCCATTGGCTTACAATAAAGCTCATAATTGATTAGTACATTATTTTATAATCCTTAATGGTATAATTATTCCGAGATCTCTTCATAGTATTACTAATTAATCATTAACCAATTGATTTCTTGCCAAAAAGAAGTGAAGAAATTCATCGTAGTAGCAACAATTTGTTTGCATCATATCGTATTTATTAATTATTGACAAATTGATTTAGTTTTTTGCGTTCATTTCATCTTTCTTTCAAATACATAATATGTAAATTGTTGAAGGAGAAAACAATAAGTGATTGAAAATGAAATTTAATTAAAGTTTGGAAGGAATAACTGTGTTAATTTGTCGCAGTTACTTTTGTTTTTTTGCAGTTAAAATTTTGAGTAAATGAAAGAAAAAGTTAGAAATAATTTAATTTTAAAAAAGACTATAAATTATGGGATTAACGACAGGATTAACAACAATTAATGCATTCAAAAAATGTAATGTATCCATGAAAACTTCACCACTTTCTGATGGCATCGTTAATGTATTCATCATTGCTAGCATATTATATGGTGACCATAAGACCAAATAAGCGATTAAAGTTAAAGCCGCTTGACGTTTGGCTATCTAAAATAAAACTTAACAAAATCAAATTTTACTGAAATAAGAAAATTTTGAATCAATATTATACGAGATTTTATTAGAAAAATGATGTTCAACAGTGTTCGATGACAAATTTCAACATATAATTTACTATTTATTGACATGTGAAAAAATTTAGCTAAATAATAAATAAATGAAAAAATTTTTATAAAAGGAGAAAATTTGAAAATAAATTTTTATGACAGATTTTCTTATATTATGATAAAAATGATATTTTGTTAACAGAAAGAATTTGAGAGAACTTAAAAAAAAAGTTATCGGAAAACGCAGAATATATGAAATTTAAATTGCAATGATATACTTGCAATATGTAAAAAAGAAAAATTTTCGATTAAATTTAATCAAATTTTTTATTGGTAAATGTAATTTCATTTGAAATATGTTGTAGAGATGATTTATGAAAAGAATGGATTAAGATGATAGTAAAGTATCATAAAACAAAACGAAATTAAGATGATAATAAAGTATCATGATTTGATGCGAAATTAAGATGATAATAAAGTATCATGATTTGATGCGAAATTAAGATGATAATAAAGTATCATGATTTGATG